AAGAAGGAATTTCTTTCCTACTTTGTTTGGAAGTGCTTCAAACGGGGGTTTTTTTTTTGCCTTCTTTTGGATCAACAGCAAAAAACAAATGTGAGGAAGGCTGAACTTGATGGACGCATGTCTCTTTTCAGCTATGTAACTATGTAGTGGAGACTAGCGGTAATAAAATCTCAATCTATATATATGTACTCTTGTGCATGCGCAAGGCTACAACACAGATGTCTATAGAGGATCCCATGAGATCCACCATAGACATCGCTTCTCGAGATCGATGCCTGAATCCCATAGTGATGACCTAGACACAAGTTCTAGGTTGACGTTTGTGAACCTAACTCTTGTCCAAAAGACAATGTAATACCCACTTTTTCTTATGGTATCTGGATTGCGTTGGCATTTCAGTGGATTAAGAATTTGGATCAGTATTTCATAAAGAATATATCTTTATGACACATTGAAAAGTAAAAGAACTGCTTTAACTGGCGAAAGATAATATAACTCAACGATGATCCACTCGCTCACTCCATTTGATCCTTTTTGTATCATTTTACCCCACTCCCTCTAGCATGTAAGCTCTTTGAGCAGGGCTCTCAACCCCTATGTTCCTGTGTGTCCAACTTGTCTGGTTACAACTACATGTCTGTTCATCCACCCACTGTAAAGCGCTGCGGAATTTGATGGCGCTATATAAATATCATAATAATAATAATCTGTGATTGATCACATTTATCAAATTTTCCGTACTATTGCTGTTATGACAAAAGCAGGATACACAGAATATAATTAATGCAAGTTTGTGTGGTGGGCTATATTTGTTTTTATTTTTCCTTCAGGACTTTATTTTGTCAGTTTATTCTTTAAAGGACCACTATAGTGCCAGGAAACAATACTCGTTTTCCTGGCACTATAGTGCCTTGAGGGTGCCCCCACCCTCAGGGTCCCCCTCCTGCTGGGCTCTAGGGGGTGGAAGGGGTTAAACTTACCTCTTTCTCCAGTGCCGGGCGGGGAGCTCTCCTCCTCCTCTCCGGCTCCTCGGCTGAATGCGCATGCGCGAGCATTCAGACAATCCATAGGAAAGCATTCACAATGCTTTCCTATGGACGCTGGCGCCTTCTCACTGAGAAGCGCGGAAGCGCCTCTAGTGGCTGTCAATGAGACAGCCACTAGAGGCTGGATTAACCCTAATATAAACATAGCAGTTTCTCTGAAACTGCTATGTTTATAGAAAAAAGGGTTAACCCTAGCTGGACCTGGCACCCAGACCACTTCATTAAGCTGAAGTGGTTTGGGTGCCTATAGTGGTCCTTTAATATAAATTATATTGTGTATAATATTTTACTACACAAAGCATAAAGTATTAAAATATAGAATCCAAAGTCCTATGTTGTACAAATAAAAATCTTTCCCACGGTAATTTGATTCTGAAATACGGAGTTCATGGTTTAAATTGCAGATGGTACAAATGGTATTTTTAGTAAGGAATATTGATTTTTTAATTTAATTTATAGGAAAAGAAGCATTTCCTGGGTGCAAATTACATGAAGGAAGGTCCCGAGGGAAATGACATTAGCAGAACGAACGTCGCTCAGATCCGGATGGCTTACAGATATGAAACTTTATGCAACGAGCTCAGTTTCCTGGCAGACGCCATGCATTCTGCAGAGATTACTGACACTCATGCAAATTAAGATTTCTGACTTTGCCAAGTGCATATTGTTGTGCCTAATAAATCTTTCACCGTTTGAAATAACAATCACAAGGGTTTACACTGCGGTGAATAGATCTGTTTGTGTTGTCATTTTATTATTTAACCCCTTAAGGACCAATTACGTCATCCACTCTTCAATGCCTTAGACACTGCCCATAGATAATTTATCAATCATTTTAAATGTTGCTCCATTTACATAATGTGACACTGGGAGCGTTTCCTGCTATTACAGCGATGAAGACTTTGTGCTTTTTTGTTTAGCATGTTACGCATTAGGCGATAAGCAGAACTGTGAATTTATTATTTCAGTAAAACATTTTAGCTCACTCCATTTATGTGGGTGAAAAAGCCTGCAGATTGCGAAAGAATGTCATTGGTCCTAAAGGGGGTTGTGAAGAGTCACCATGAATTCTATTTGGAATATTTCATAGTTATCAGATGTAAAGTTAGGAAAAAAATTTATTGCTCTCAGCCTGGACTTTGGATTCTGTTCTGAACGTCATAACTCAGACTGCAGGTTACGTTATTCTTATATGTAACATATAGAGATAATATTTATTGAGACAGGTATTTGGGGAACTCAGTCAGTCAGATTGTGAGAATCAATGAATAGTAACAATAGTTTACAGCACAAGATGCCTAGAATTAGCTTAGATATGTCTGAGATGGAATGCTTAAATTGGTCTCCCTTTAAATTATGTTATTTTTGTTGCGTGCTCCAAAAACAATGTACAACCCCCTCTTATGAACCCATTTTACATTTACAATACTCTGATCATGGGATTAGAAATCTTACAGCAATATTGTTTTAAAAGGGTAGATTTGCAGTAATATATCCCACTTCAATGGCTGAATATAGAGTCAAGCCCAGCTTGTGTCTCGCTCTCCATGTAATAATTTAGGTCTTGGAATAGGTTTAGGAGCAATTCACTAAATGGTGAATTTTAGATGATTTTGCAGTTTATCTAAATTTTGCAAATTCACTAATCTCTCTCCCAACCTATTTTAGCCTATACGGATTAAGCTAAACCAGGATCTCTTAAATTATTATTTTTTCCAAAGGACACTCCAGGCCCCTAAAGCAGTTGATCTTGCTTAAGCACTGTATGTGTGAAGAGTGTGTCCTCTCTTTACAAAAGAGATTGCAAACAGAAATTGGCACTTGTATATATTAACCATGTTACACCTGCCGGCTGTCAATCAGACAACCAGTCCTGTTACTTCCTGGTTTGCTTAGTTCAGTGGAGCTAAACTCAAGATGCAGCAATTGCCCAGAGCAACCGCCTTGCAAAGACTTCTCATTGAGCTGCATTTTTTATTTTATATTAAATTTGTATTTGGACAGTGTCGTGTCACTTTAATTACATCCCAATTCCAGCTTGAATTTTGTAGTGGGGTGCAGTGTCCGCCAGAAGAATAAAACCAGCGGATTGCAAGTTTATGGTCTTGTCCAATATTTCTGTATATTCTGTAGGACTACAACAACCAAATCACTTGGAATATTCCATCAAGTCTGTCCAAGTCTCGAATCCAGTATGAAGTGTTTGATGGATAGAACAGGTTATTATATATGAGATATACATACCTGTGTCACAAGTGTAATCTTTTCACTTGCTGTGAAGAGGATGCTACAGAAAATGGGAGGTAAAATGATAACCAATCCCTGTATAATAAAATTTAGAGGACAACGTTAATACTTTGCGCCAGATCTGTCATAGAGTTACCGAAATGCCTGGTATATTATAAGATTGTGCATTTTACGCAGATTTTATTGGAGGAGGTTTATCAAAGAATTCTGTTCTAAAAAGTGGTTTACAGTTCTAAATGTGGGCCAGTCACTATTGAAACTAAATGCACCACTGGTGACTCCTCTCCTTTTACATTTTTGCACTTTTTAAAACAGAAAACTTTGATAAACCTCCCCCATTGAGTTTCAATGTATTCAATGTACTAAAATGTAACATTTAGCTGCTGTACGTTTTACTTAAATGTTTACTTTTATCAATAAAAGTTTGAAAAGGAAAATGTTATGTGTTGTCATTGGTGCATTACTTAAAGCCAATGACTACTTATTTTGTTAAGATTTACTTTTCGTCAATTAAAACGAAAAAAAAAAAAAAAGACAAAAACTGACAAAACAAACACACTTTTAAATGTGATGCCCCATTACTAACCAAATATATTTAGTTAAGGATCATAGCCCTAAAAACCTATGATGTAGTTGACGTAAAAAAAAAAAAAAAAAAAAAGTCATGAGCTTTTAAAGATGCATTTTGTGCTTGGAGCAGGAGTATGGGTGAGCCACAGACTTCTGGCTCACCTTCCCCAATACAGGGGTAATGCTGGGTGACCAAGGCACACTCACAAGTTAATCACTCCAAATGCCAGTGCTGGGCACAGTCTGTTACTGGCACACTAGTTCTTTCTGAAGAGGCACTGCATGTCTGCCAGCATGTGTTTAGAGGTCACACATTGATAAACACTACTGAGCACACTTACAGACTTATTCTCGGGCAATGCCGGTGTTAGGGGTAGGAATTCATACGGAGTAGGGGATTTTGATATAACGCCGGCCAAGGTATCTAGAACAAATGTTTCACTTTTATAACATGCTCTGTGAAAGCAGTTTTACCTGCGCATATTCAATCTATGTGAACTGCCAACTTTATAGCTGGATATAACTATTTTTAAAAAAAATACAACTGCTTAAGTTTTTAGTTAGTAAATAAGGGGCAAGCAAAGCCAATCAGAAAATCCCCAAATTATTACTTTACTCAGTGCAAATCTTTAATAGATAAAATCACCCTCAAATTTATAATAGGTTACACATTGAATGGATTATATAGTCATTAAATGAACTTTGTCCAGGAATCCATCAAATGGGTACTTTATATCTCACGTGATGAACTGAATGTAATATTGCAAAAGTCACGCTAAAGTAGCCGTACTGTGACTATAGTGCAGCTCTGGAATATTTTCAATTCTGATATTTTTGTCTCTTACCATTTATTTTTTTTAATTTGGGTTTCTATTCACCTTCAGATAACAAGTCCCAGTGGGTGAATTTCCTAGGAATTGTGGAGAATTTCAAATGGAACTGAAATTTACAGTTCACTTTTCAGTTCTTCAAAACCCCCAGTTTTGCAAAGGGCCTATCACTGGCAGATAGCGCTTAGGATTAATCAGGTGAACATTAAGGGTAGAAAGAAACTTGCTACTTTAGAAAGAACACATCCCGACCTACAGTGATCCTACCAGATTAACACGAGATCAGGATAAATCAAACGCCAACAGCTTTGTTTCAAAATATTTTTATTTATCACACAATTCAAAATACACCAAGACCTTCTGCAAACTCATTAAATATTGCAATTTAATGCTTTATGAGATTTTCTCTGAACCAGATTGGTTTCTTCTCAAAACAAAGCAATGTGCCAGTAGTCTGCATTACAAATATGCTCTACCCGTGGGAACAGAGAGCGGTAGACACGCTCGTGGTACGAATCCAGGGTAAACGTAGGTTTCCATTAAAGTGCATTAAGTACATTAAATTAATAAACAAGTGTTCCTTCAAACAGTAACTGTGACATAACAAGTGCTCTGGGACGAAACAAGTGACATGCAGGGGACAGGGTTTCACCCATAAGAAACAAAAAATTGGGAACAGCAAAAAAAGTAAAGCAAAAACACTGAAATTAACAAGAATTATTGTGTAATATCCCTTACAAATCTAAGCTAATAGTCCAATAACACCCTAAACCAGAAAAGCCCAAATGCTGCTCTCCATCCCTGCTCAGAAACAAAAATTCCATGATAGTTTGAAAGCCTTAAAACTGGTAAAACATCAACGGGAGCTGTAGCAATACTGCAGTTGGGGGATCTGCCTTTAGTCTAAGATATATACATTCCCTTTACGTTCCAGGGGTAAAACGATTTGTAAACCTCTCCTAGGCAAAAGACTAGTGCCTACCTTTTGGGGTTTCAGCCCCGTCCACTTACACAATAGATTTAATCCTTGAATTGCCGGTATGGCACAATGCAGAGCTCTGCATTTCCAAGGGTGACTGTCTCCCAAAAACCTTTTTCATTAACTGCCCTTTTACTGGGATTCTCATTTTCACCGAAATTCTATGTCCTTCTGGCTAATCAGATGAGACATTATATTTATGTACAAAATATTTAAAATATCTCTAAATTGGTGAAATCTAAATTTACTAAAACACATGCATGCGACACGTGGCTGCAATGGATGGAATATTAGTTTAAAAAGTTAATCATTATAATTTCCTTAAAAATGAAAATAAAACCTCGGCATTGTACCTGTGCTGCACAGTGTAAAGCAGTTGGGATTTTATTAAACCCAGGGTACTTGGAGTGACCCGTAAAATGAAAATGTGTAAATAACGCTGCTTTAAATCCTAGCCAGTTGTTTTCCATGTTTCTCCATACAGCCTATTACTTGCATTCTCTGAAATCGTGGTTATCCCAGGTTATTTATTGTTACAGATAACTAGCTGTTCACTTGGTTCGGAAAGCTTTTATAACTAACCAAGAGTTTAATTCTGCTACAAGGGAAACCTACAAAAATATAGGCAGCAAATCTAAAGTGAGACATTTAAGTATACTTATTTGCATATAACTGCAATGCATTTTGGGAGTGCAGAGGAAATATGCTCTTTCAGAGCTGCTACAAATGGGGCATTTTAAAAAAAAAAAAATGTTAAATCATGAAAAGTAGATATTACACATCTGTATATTGGGAATGTGTGTATACATGTATTCATATACCATTTATTAAAGCAAATTATATCCATGTGTAAGAGAAAGGAAGGAGTGTTAATAAGGATCATTACAGAGCCTGTGCGGCATGTTTACAAGTGGAAATCATTACGGATCATCAGAAAGAACATCCCAATTCTGATAAATTCCCATAATTTAGCACTTCCCCCCCCCCCCCCAAAACTCTTCCAGAGTTTTCACAAGGACAGTTTTTGATTGATTGTCAAGCAGTGCTTGTCCAATTCGTTAAGTCATACTATTGCGAAAGTCTTTATCCTTTGGGCACTGATATTGCCAAGTAATTGGATCTCTGCATCCCTGAGCACAGTCATGTGGGTCTGCTTTACCTGCAGCAACACAGAAATCAGAGACCATCCTGGCCACGGGATCAGCCACCTTCCTTCTATGTACCCAGGCTAGATAACAGCTTCTATAGGAAGCACATTTTTTATTGCCCAAATCAATCTGTTGAAAGGGTTAATCCAACCACTTCTGCTTTTTGAAGTGGTCATGGTGGTAGGAGTCTGGATGTGCAGTGTTTCTACTTGATTTCCTCATTGTGTGCCAGGGTTACTTGCTCCTCTTATCACACATGTCTAGAACTCTGTTTCACGTTGCCTAATGTCAATTCTGTGCATATTTTATGTTGGTCGCCAGCAGGCACTGCATGTGGAAGCTCGTCTCCCCTACCTACTTCCCACACTGAGTAAAAACCTCATTCCTCCCAATTCAGTGCGCTATTATTTTAAATTCCCCGCCCTCCAATCTCTTCCTCTTTACCTTTCTCCCACTTCCCCTCAGAGCGCACGTATGTGTCATGAGCTGGGAAAATGGTCCAATCAAAGCCTTGTCTATGAAAATTATTTGATTGGACCTTGGCACGGCTCCTGTAAGACGAGGATACACCGAGCAGCGCAGGGGAGCTTCACCCGTTAAAGAGCTCTTTGAGCATTTTTGTACAGCGGGACATACAGAATAATGCCAATAGAGTATCTTTCTAACCATGAAACAGGGTTGGAGAAACCCTTTAAGAATGGACTAAATTCTGCTTGGACTTTTCTACTATGGTTACGGCACTGGCCTAGTAGTAAGGGCTATAAATAGCATGTCCACAGCAGCAGAAGCAATTTCCACAATCCCAAGTGACATGGCGACATTATAGTCTAGGGTACACTATAACCTTAGTGATAGAGAGATGATGTTTTCTCCATTTCCCAACATCTCCAAGGGGTCAGGATGTAATTTAGTCATTGACTGGATGAGAATATTGGGCATGTCAGTGTAGCCCTGAAAGTAGAGGTTCTTAGAATACCCCCAAATATGACTGCAAAAAAGAGCCACCACACCCAGTGCATTAAAGGCCCCAACACTGAGAACTGACAACCATCAAACCAACTGCATTAAAGGCCCCCAACAATGAGAAAATAACAGAACCATAAAACCAACTGGATTAAAGGCCCAGAACAATGAGAAACTGACAGAACCATCAAACCAACTGCATTAAAGGCCCCCAACACTGAGAAACTGACAGAACCGTCAAACCAACTGCATTAAAGGCCCCCAACAATGAGAAACTGACAGACCCATCAAACCAACTACATTAAAGGCCCCCAACAATGGGAAACTGACAGAATCGTCAAACCAGCTGAATTAGAGGCCCCAACAATAAGAAACCGACAGAACCATCAAACCAACTGCATTAAAGGCCCCCAACAATGGGAAACTGACAGAGCCGTCAAACCAACTGCATTAAAGGCCCCCAACAATGGGATCCTGACAGAATCGTCAAACCAGCTGCATTAAAGGCCCCCCAACACTGAGAAATTGACAGAACTATCGAAGTGCATTAAAGGCCCCCAACACTGGGAAACTGACAGAACCATCAAACCAACTGCATTAAAGGCCCCAACAATGAGAAACTAGTAGAGCAGTCAAACCAACTGCATTAAAGGCCCCCAACAATGAGAAACTAGTAGAGCAGTCAAACCCAGCTGTATTAATACCTAAAACAAAGCACAACAAAGGGATTATTAACATTTTAAGCAGTTGTAAGACAAAGGGATATATGTGCTTTAATCCACTATTACTTACAGGGAGCCCCAAATGGGGTAACAACAAAGATTAACACAGTACAAAGGAATCCATCCCAAATAACTATAAATTTACAAATTAGCCAAAAAGAAGTAAAATTATTAGAAAAACAACAAAACAAAAAATCCCTTCCCCCAAAATTTTTTTTAACATAGTAGTACGTCTCTTACAGTGTTAGCGGAATGGAAGAATTCAAACAGTTAATTTCTCCAGGATTCAAAGAGAATTCATATAAATCAGTAACATAATAATGTATTGCTGACATGTTGAGTTCTATTTACACCCTAACATCTGAGAGTCTGTAGGAGATTTAACACGAATACAATACACAGATTGTTACATTCTGAGAACACAGACCATGTTATTGGGAATGGATAGCCTGCCCACAATGCAGTGCTCACAAGAACGTGTCATGTGGCTGCCCGACTTCATCAGCTAAATTCAGTATGTAGCTAGCCACATCTTCATCGGTAGGGGCGTCCGAAACCACCCATGAATCATTCATTCCGGTCACTTGTAGCCGACAAATAGGACAATTGCGATTCCGGTCACTCCTTGCAAGAAGAGATAAAAAAATAATTGTGAAATGTAAATATGCTGATATGGTTTGTACTTTTGTATAATTGTTTCTGAATTACACTTTTCAAATTATTTCTAATTAAAACTTTTCATGAAAAAAGTATCAATTCACCTGCGAAGACATTTACAAACCAGAGATTACCAAGGCACCCTCGACTACCCTCCCCCATCCGAGTTACACCCAGGCACAAATATTTACACTGATAGGCCAAGCAGATAAACTGACCGAGAGACAGGAAGCATTGATGGAAATGTTTTACTAAAACCTTAAACACAAAACGATAACCATATGTTTTTTTGCTCACTGTTATTGTGTAGTCATTTCCCTGTGAGGCCCGAATTATTAGGAACAGAGTGGTTCAGGTAAGTAAAACGCAGTATTCCCTGCACTCTGCGGCCACAGCATTGCAAGAGGAGCAATCACTATTGGTGGTCTTTGCAAAATATGCCAAGACTCCAGATGGTGACAGTCGCTTTAATACAGGCTTGGAATCTAGCTCCCTGTGTGTAGAGGGGTGCCATTTCTTTATGGATAAGACACTTCACAGGCTTAAATGTACATAGGTCCAGTGTTGCTTTAGGAGACGCGCCTTCAACTTTGGGTCTGGTCTGTCCTGATGTGCTAATGGAACATTTTGCTCGGTGTGTACAGAGTCTAGCACTCCTAAAAGATTTTCTCCAGAGGGTCCCATCTGTCAGTGAATACTATTAAGTGGCCAGATCTCAGCTTACAGGTTTATGAGATCATAAAAAGCATCAATCTTCACCAAAGTGTCAGAATTTTCACCACAAGACTGGCAAGATGCAACAAAACACTTAAATCTTTTGGCATGCATGAGTGGGAATATGAATCTGATTCTCTTTAGAAAACAAACAGAAAGTCATAATTTCCTTTCAGAGGAAGCACCATCCTTTTCAAATCCCTAGAGGCAGACATGACAGCAGGGGTAATACTGGAATGCAATGGCAGAGTTTTTTACCTGGCACCTCCTTATCAACTAAACACAGCAGACGGGTTTATATTACTGGGTTCCTCGTGGGTCATTATTGGGAAATAACACTTTAATGTTGATGTTATTTGGGTTTTAATAGAGGTGGAGGAGGATGAGGGTGGAAGAGTTAAAGGTTGATGGAATTATCCAGGAAAAGGAATTGTCAAAATACATTCTCAAACTGTCTAGTTTGGATCAAAGTTCAACAGACTGTTTCCTTTCATTTTTTTTACCATTAAATCTGGTAGTTTTCCGCTTAGAAACGAGGGCTTCACATTTTTACTGATTATGCTTAGCATGAACTAATGTCACAGGGATGGGTTTTAACACTGATCCAGGACTATAAAAGGGTTCGCCCAAAGCTTTTTCATATTTAAAAATAAAAGATTTCCAAAAGGATTTTCTACCACCAGATTCTACATTCATATTGTTCAGGTTACCTTTTTGTCTATATTTCAGGATATTGTGTAGAGCAGGTCAGAACATGATGTCCACTACCCATAATATTACAATCAAGACTCAAGGGCCCATTCCCTTTAACTTTCATTACTTTTTCACAGATCCCAACGAATAATAGGAACATCAAGCTTGAACTGGGCAGCTAAGATTGAAAAGGTAGAATAATTTGATTTACTTGGGCTCGTTATCAAACCCCAATAAAACCTTCAACAGAACAAGCAAGGGTTATTAAAGTATACATTCAAGTGGCCCAGGAATGTTGAAAGCTCTTTTTGTAATTACAATAAATCATCAACATATTCCACAGCATTGTGCAACAGGTAAAAACAAGACAAGCAATTCTTACAACACATGTTTGAAATACAGGAACAGCAGGTAAAGCGGGCCCAACCTAAATGGGAAACAAACACTGTATTTGGAGCATAGCATAGTGTGGGGGTACTAACTCTCACCATTTATCAATGCATTTCTGACAAAAGCTGTGTGCGCAAGGCAGGATCACGTCTGCTCGACCGTCCATACATATACAGCACTCTTCGTCATCAGTCAGTTGTTTCACCCTAAAACACAGAAAGAAAATATTTAACAAGGAAACCCACGTCCAATTTCAAACATACAAAACTCAAAAGGTTCATCTTGAAATTTCCCATGAATGTTTATCATGGGACTAATGTTCTTATTACAACACCTGCTAAAAGAACTGGCAGACACACAACCTCTTCTCATAGTAATGTAGCACTTGCAGAACCTCTTGACGAGACTAACTGCCTGTTGTATTTGCTGTCCTTCCTTTCAAACCAAAACAGGAAAAGAACATTTACCATTGGCCGTGTGTAAAGATCAATGCAGGTTAGCAGAGTGCGCAATGTGGACACTATGTCCAGGAACTGCAGGTGTGCACTATAAAGGCCAGAATCCAGCCGTATCAGATGAAACATCTTATAAAGAACATTATCATATCAGGACTTGTAAACATATAACAAAATATTCAGAACGACTGATTTATTTCCCTTTTGCGCTCTCCCCCAAAATACTAGTGTTTGCCAAAACCACTGTCATCAGAGAGTCTCCCGTGAAGGCCCTTCCTGTCTCTACTATAAAAAAAAAAAAAAAAAAGAAGAAGATAATAAATGAAAAATCAAACATAAACAGGTAGCAGTCAAAATGCACTTTCCTGCATCATGACCGCATAATGACGGGGAAGAGCATGGAAACTGTAAATCTAAATACTGGAATTACTAATGGTTACTATTATAAAAATAAATACACAGTGCCTAGAAAATGTATCACTGAGTGAAGATTGAAACATGCACACTCATGGCAGCAGTTAAAGGGACACTTCAGACCTTTAAAGGGGTCATACCGGAAAGGGTTGTCACTTATTGTTCTTCATGAAATGCTTTTGCACTTAGGTGCTGTTATCAACAATTTTTTAATATGCTGTGAGAAATGAAATCTTGTGCCTATAGTTTTGCTATATGTTATTACACTGTCTTTGAGACAATGTTGCTGAACTTGCTGCAAAAAAGTGAGTTTTGTTTTCTTTTGTTTTTGGAACTACAATATCCTAAACCTGTATTCTTTTTGTTGTATGCATAGAGCACTTTATCTTGCTGAAAAGCTTTATGTGTGAAAAATGTGTCCTCTTTTTTCATTTCACAAAAAGTGCAGATTCAATAGAAATTAGCGCTTTTATAAATTAACCTTGTTACACCCCCATGGCTGTCAATCAAACAAACAGTCCTGTTACTTCCTAGTTTGGTTAGCTCAGTGGAGCTAAACTCAAGAGGCAGCAAATGCCCATAGCACCTACCTTCTCATTGAGCTGCATTGGGAAATATGTGATTGGACAGCCACAGAAAGTCTGGGCAGGGTTAGAAGGGGAGGGCTTGCAAATGCTGCAGACAAGAAAGCTGAGTTGTTTTTAAATATAATCCCAATGGAAAAAAAATGCATAACTAAATGCACATGCATGTTTTCATTTGTGTTATATCTACTAAACAGTGATTTTTATTTTTGGGCAGTGAAGTTTCCCTTTAAAGAGAGGACATACTTTCCCATTAGAATGCTGGCTTGACATGAAGACACGGAGGAGAAACTTTCAGCATTATCCTCTGCGGCGGCACCACAGCTGTCCTGGGAAAAAGCTCCGGTAGCATGACTCGTGATATCTTTATAGAGCTGGATAAACTGGTAGAGATTCATGATCCTGGACACTTCCACAATGCCGGTGACCTTATTAATCTGCAGAATGGAAATAATATATACATTAAAACATCAGTGTGATCCCCACTACGTTAAACAATTCTAAACGTGTAGATTGCTCTCACAGCTTCACTAGAATGAACAGACATGATAAGCACCTTAAGCATTACAGCGCATTGCAGTGGTTATGGTCCTGTCCCTTATGCTTCTTTAAATATAATACAGATATATCAGTTCCACCATTATCCATACAAGTTCTGCATCTTAAATGTGAACACCAACGGCCCATGAGTGCAGGGTGTGGATCACATTCTATCACAGCCAGGCTTTGGGTCTTAGAAAAGCAAAAACTGATTTTTTTTAAAACCATTTGAAAACAGTATGAAAAAACTGCACCCATCTCAACATCTATAATAAGCTGTACCATATCCTCTAGTTTTCCATCTGTAAAAGATTAACCTGCTGTGAGTCTTTAATGCCTTTCTTCCACTACCAAAAAATAAGTAAACTATTGCTTCAGAAGTTAGTTTAATGCAAAAAAGGAAAGAAAAAAACCCACAAAATCTCCACACACATACTACATATACAGGGTTGTGTTTTTTTTTTTTTTAAATCTACTTGTCCAATGGTCTAAAGCAGTAGCCCAACTTGTCCTGACACTAAATAATTCCATTTACAAAGATTGGGGCCCCTGCCAAGAGTCCTGGACATAAACGGCTATTTGCTAAACTCTTAACTTTCACAAATTAAATCTGAATGGAAAAATGGAGGAAACAAATAGCAGATATGGAAAAATTATCTAACTCCTCTAGTCACATCGTGGTTATTTCTGCCTCAATTTTGCCATTTGGGATATTTTGCTAGAATTCAGACTTTTGTGAAAGCCTGCAGGGACATACTACACACACCAGAACAACTAGATTAAGTTGGTGACTATAGTGTCCCTTTAATTTGCTGCAGACAGAACTGAGAGCAGCTGGGCGTAGGTCTCATTGTTGCAAAAATGGCGGCTCATGCAATATCAGTGGGACATTGTCATTTAAAGTCTACAATGCTCAGCAACACCCGTACACACTTCATACACAAAATGCACACAAAACTCAGCAATACCCACCTTCGTACACAAAACACGCACAACAACTTTCCACAGAGCTGAGGAATCCGAGCCTGGCTGCACTTCAAACAGGAGATGTTTGTCCTGTCCCGAAGCCAGCTTTGCAGTCCTGGAAAAAGAAAAAAAAAAAACATGGAATTAACTGTACCAAACACATACCTTGACCAAAACTCAGCCCATATCCAGTAACATGACTCCAATACGCAATCAGCCCTACACCCTGCAACAGCGTAAACAAAATCCTCTAAATATCGTCAGCTGTAAAAAAATAAACAAGGAAAATATGCTAGAAATACGAGAGCTACACAAATACAAAAATTATACAAAATAAAAAGTCACTTTAAGCAGCAAAAAAAAAAAAGTAAGGGACACCAATAATTCTGTGTATGGTGCTAATATATGTGCTATGTTTATTAATATACAGGGAACTTATTTACTAAACTGGGTATTCCAGTACAGTACATTCAAAACAGACTATACAAAAATTGAGTTCATGCGGTACAGGCGGGTGATAAGGTAGGTATTGAAAAGTTGACTACTCCTAGTCTAGCATAATGTATCACTGTGGCCAGTTACTTATGTATAAGACAACTACCAGTATTGAAAATGTTGCAGATTGCACCTTACCTACTGACACAATAGGTCTGCCAATTTTAATGAATAAACTCCTTATGGTTATTACTGTGAATTCAAAGTGAATTAAAAATTTTAGAGCAAAACAGCAGAACTGAAAACAGAGTTGACTTTAATAGGAGATAAATATGTTTTTAATTTGGGAAAATATTTGCGAGACAATATTACAAGTCAAACAGCAGATAATTCAGTAGCATCAATTGTGGTCAGGGACAGTATGTCGAGTTACCAAAACCGCCACCCAAAATCCAGCACCCCACGAGACCAGCCCCAAGGCCCACCGCTCCCAAAATCTAGGGAGAAGCTGACTTTGTTTTGAATTCCTGCAATTCAAACACTGTTACTAACGAATAGACTAAATGTATTAATCCAGTATTTGGTGAGTAGCAGTGATTATGGTGCCATGAGTGCCCTAGTGCCCCCCAATGTAAGTAGTCAAACTGTTTTAGAACGGTTAGATTTCTTAGCTGGAGTCAGCTCTTCTCCTCCACTACATCCTTACAGTTCTCTGTTTGCCGAAAGTCGGACTCAAAGCCCAGTGGTGCATACAGTGTGCTTCAGTGGTTATGGTGCTTGGAGGGTTGCTCTGAATGGAATTTCTGCTTGTTGGTAAACATGATCACAGTTAATTAGCAAATAATTTGTGGAAATTGACCATGGAATTGCTAATTCTAGACAAGCATGGGAAAGTAGAAAAAAAAAATTGTTGGAAAATATTATCAATCTGCAATTTTGGCCTAAAATGTGAAACTGTTTCTTGTGTACTAATGGTTTTCAACATAGTGAATAAATGTACACATTAATGACATCACAGCTCAAACTCACTGAAAAATATAACCTTACACATCATTTAGCTCAGCAACTCTTCCCAGGAATTCCTCGTATGTTAGAAAGCCGCTCTCTCGTACCAAAGCCGCATGTTTTAACACTTTCTCCGGCAGCTTGTTCATCACACTTTGGGTCTGATTGGATAACTGCTGTCCCATCATTCAGCCAATAGCACACAACTTGCCATGTGAATTAAGTTTCATTCAGATGTACAGGTCCTATAAAATAGTGGAAAACCTTAACAAGTAAAACAAGTGTATATTTAGGAGTTTAGTGTCAACACGTCACATCGTTCACCTATTCTAAACCCACCATTAGTGAGATCAGAATCAACAGCTCATACAGGGCTGTGGGTAGCAACACGTTTCACATCACTCAAAGCAATGCCAGGAACCAAGTTCCACGTCATGGAGAGCAATGCTGGGTACAGATATGTTCCATATCACGCAGAGCAATGCCAGGAACTGACATGTTCCACATTGTGCGTGGCAATGCCAGGTACAGAACGTACCACGTTGTGAAGAGCAATGCCGGAAACAGACACGTTCCATGTCACGCATAGCAATGCCTGGAACTAACACATTTCACGTCACACATAGCAATATAGCAATGCCAGGCAACGACATGTTCCACATCATGGAGTGCAATGCCAGGTACCGAGATATTCCGTGTCATGCAGAGCAATGGCAGGCACCAACAAGTACCACGTTGCACAGAGCAACTCCGGGACCAGACACATTCTAAGTCACGCAGAGCAATGCCGGGACCAGACCCATTCTATGTCACGCAGAGCAATGGCAGGCACCAACACGTACCACGTTGCACAGAGCAACTCCGGGACCAGACACATTCTATGTCACGCGGAGCAATGCCGGGACCAGACACATTCTATGTCACGCAGAGCAATGCCGCGTACCGACACATTCTATGTCACGCAGAGCAATGCCGCGTACCGACATTCTATGTCACGCAGAGCAGTGCCGCGTACCGACACATTCTATGTCACGCAGAGCAGTGCCGCGTACCGACACATTCTATGTCACGCAGAGCAGTGCCGCGTACCAACACATTCTATGTCACGCAGAGCAGTGCCGTGTAGTACCAACACATTCTATGTCACGCAGAGCAGTGCGGCGTAGTACAGACACATTCTATGTCACGCAGAGCAATGCCGCATACCGACACATTCTATGTCACGCAGAGCAATGCCGCGTACCGACACATTCTATGTCACGCAGAGCAATGCCGCGTACCGACACATTCTATGTCACGCAGAGCAATGCCGGGAACAGACCAGTTCCATGACACAAGAGAGGATTTACAGGTACCGACATGTTCCACGTCACACAGAGCAATGCCGAGAACAGACATGTTCAAATGAATGCTGGACAATAACATGTACAATAGTCTGTAAGCTCGTTGAGCAGGGTCCTCTTCAACCTATTGTTCCTGTAAGTTTTCTTGTAATTGTCCTATTTATAGTTACATCCCCCCTCTCAAAATATTGTAAAGCACTACGGAATCTGTTGGCGCTATATAAACGGCAATAATAATAATAATGTTATTGCAGGGAATGCTGGGTAATAACATGTTCTTGCAGGGAATGCTGGGTAATAACATGTTATTGCAGGGAATGCTGGGTGTAAATAAACATGTTGCAGGGAATGCTGGGTAATAACATGGTGTTGCAAGGAATGTTGGGTAATAACATGTTCTTGCAGGGAATGCTGGGTAATAACATGTTCTTGCAGGGAATGCTGGGTAATAACATGTTCTTGCAGGGAATGCTGGGTGTAAATAAACATGTTGCAGGGAATGCTGGGTAATAACATGTTATTGCAGGGAATGCTGGGTGTAAATAAACATGTTGCAGGGAATGCTGGGTAATAACATGTTCTTGCAGGGAATGCTGGGTAATAACATGTTCTTGCAGGGAATGCTGGGTAATAACATGGTGTTGCAGGGAATGCTGGGTAATAACATGTTATTGCAGGGAATGCTGGGTGTAAATAAACATGTTGCAGGGAATGCTGGGTAATAACATGTTATTGCAGGGAATGCTGGGTAATAACATGTTATTGCAGGGAATGCTGGGTAATAACATGGTGTTGCAGGGAATGCTGGGTAATAAGCTGTACACAGAGCACACGGCCAGTTCTTACCGTCAGTGCCCGGCATGGTGCGATAAACCGACCCCTCACACATTCAGACCTGGCCCCGCCTCTCTGACGTCATCACCAGCCGCGTCCCAAACAGCGGGGCGCGCGAGGACCCAGTCACGGAGTTCTAAAGCACAGAGGCGTCTGTCAGGAGCTTATCCGGAACCATTTTGTCGGAGCCATCTGCTATGTTTCATAGAATACACCGTTGTCACCTACAGTTGTGAAAACTCTCTGTTTAGAACTCTCTGTATAACTGTCCGGTGGCCATTTTTAAATTGGGCAAATGCCCTCCGAACACTGTCCCTGTATTAAAACAAAGTGCGATTACCACCACCATCATCATTATTATTATTCAGTGTTTGTGCATAGCAAGACCACTTAATGTTATCTCACATATATATTATTATTATTATTATTATTCAGTGTTTGTGCATAGCAAGACCACTTAATGTTATCTCACATATATATTATTATTAAGTGTTCTTGCATAGCAAGACCACTTAATGTTATCTCACATATATATTATTAAGTGTTCTTGCATAGCAAGACCACTTAATGTTATCTCACATATATATTATTAAGTGTTCTTGCATAGCAAGACCACTTAATGTTATCTCACATATATTATTATTATTATTAAGTGTTCTTGCATAGCAAGACCACTTAATGTTATCTCACATATATATTATTAAGTGTTCTTGCATAGCAAGACCACTTAATGTTATCTCACATATATATTATTATTATTATTCTTATTATTATTATAGCAAAATTTGCCACCCTAACTCCTCCCACAGTTTTTACACTTCATAGACCAAAATTTACCAAAACGTGCAGATTGTTCCCGATCGGATTGCTATTACTTTGTGGAACGTTTCGCCGAATGGTTCACGGAATATCGTCGTTTTTGTGGCGCAATTTGTCCCATAGGAATGAATGGCAAAGCTAGAGTGGGAGCTGGCAAAAGCTGAAAATCAGGACATGATTTCTAAACTGCCACCACTCCCTTATTTTCAGGCCCACCTACACAAATCTTATATCAAAACGCTCAGCTATCCCTGCTGCCACTAAACATGTCAACGGCTAAGCCGTAGTCCTGATAGTTTTCACAATATAATCATTTGTTTGCAACTAACGCCGTCCATTGACTTTCATTGAAACTTCACTCTGCAAAGCTCAAATTTGAAGTGCAATTTTTAAACTGCGACTGTGCCTTCATTGTTAATATCTCAGAGACATACTATGCATCAAAATGTAGGTCTGGGTCTTGTGATTCTCACAATATAAAGCTCTTCACTGTAGGAGTTATAGTTTTTAAGATACGACTGTTTGAAGATGGCAACCGCCAAAATACTCTGACCTGTCAAGGCTGCAGCAGCAAGTGATGTCATAAACAGGGCCTTTTGAACACCTGCTAATGTTTTTATAAATGTATGGTTTAATGTAACTGTGCAACAACGTTGCAATTAAATGTGCTATGTAAATTATAACAGTTACTCCGCCCTCTCCAGTTGTAGACTCCTGGTGACAAAACTTTTAACCAATCACAACGTAGAATAGGGTATAAGAGGTGAGACCTATGACATCATTTCCTCTTTCTTTGCTGCTCCATCACAAGTTAAGTAACAAATTTTGTATTATCTATTCTACATACACTTTTCATTTACATGCCTTTTGTTTTCACTGTACCTTTATATATTTGCCCTATTAATGCTCTTAACCCCTGTATCCCTAACTGTCTTTCACGGCTTTCCCGCCGTCTGTACTTTCCCTCCATTTTCTCTGTTTCTCTTTAACAGTTTTTCTGTTCTTTCTACCGAACACGTCATTCGGTAGTTTTCCGCATTCGCCTGTTTTAATCGAATGCCCGCGCGACCGCACATTGACTATTCGTTTCTAACTACCGAACGCTTCGTTCGGCAGTTTGACGCGATCGCCTTTTAAACGTTCGCATCTATTTCTATTCGCACGTTCGGCAGTTCGCATAGATCTTCTATTCACGTTCGGCAGTTTTATGCGAATGGCAAGCTTACAGTTTGCCGCCCAAACTGGGGGAGGTACTATTCTCCACACACTGAGCCTGTCAGTCCGGCGGCCATCTTAAAGAGATAGACACTGCCTGATTTTCTGCTCCTGCTATTCCAACAAGCAATTGAAAAGCCTTACCCTTTTCACTCAGTGGGACCAGGTTAGTGCCTTACACTTGGGGTTGGTTTAGCCAGTTGGTCTGCACCTTATTCTGGCCGGGGTGAGCCCCCATTTTATGCTGCTAAACGGTCCTGTTTATGCAGGTTCTGATCACCTGGGTGAGCCCCAGTGAATCAGCCCTCTCCTCTACGACCTACCGGTCTCTAACCACAGGTTATTTAGTCCTGATACCATACCACCCCGGTCCCCAGGCCTCTCCATTAATCGTGCCTAGTGCCCTCACGCAATTTACCGGGTGAGCCCCGAATCCTCATTCCTCATAATGGAGGAATCACAAACCCCAGACCTCCAGGCCATGATAACAGCAGCCGTGGCTGCAGCCATGGAACAAGCCGCTTCCAAGTCGCTCCAAACAAACTCTGAGGTTCCCAGGCCCACCTCTAAACGGGTTCATTATAAGGCGGACTCCGAAGACTCCGACTCTTCCAGGGAACACTCCCAACGGCGAAAACGCCATTGGAAGGGCAATGTAACCCCACGCAAGGCTAAAGGGAAAGCCCCTGCTGATCGCAGGAAAGCCACGGTTCGTGCTACCCACGATGCCACACAACTTTCCTCAGGTGAGGAAGATGTAGAACCCACTCAGGCACTAGCTGTGCTGGATGAATGGCAGGCGGCAGCCTCTGACCAGGGGGACTACGACAGGGATTCCACGGCCAACTCTGACCCTTACTTCATAAGGGAACAGGGTCTGGGTGAGCCCCAGGACTCCATGGCAACATCCATTGATAACCCACAGGAGGGCTCGGAGATTTTCCTCGACAATTCGGGCCTCCAAATGTTCGACCCAAGAAACATCCGGCACCCCCGTTCGGAAGAATGGTCACCACCTGAGCATTTGGCAAGGTTTATGCACTTCTGGCTCAGAAAACCGCTAGACAAGGAAGTAAGAAACCGGATGAGATCCGAATGCCCTCGCCCTAGTCTACCGGACAAAGTGACGCACACCCCGAGTTTGACCCGCTCATGACTACGTTCATGTCCCGAGGGGGTCGGGATCCGCGCAAGGGCATAGAGCGCGGCTTTAAAGGAGCGCAAGATAAGCTGCTAGATGCCATTGGGCCACTAGCCAGAATCATGGATATGGCGGATGAAGCCTATGAGAGGGCTGACACTTTTACCCCAGATACGGTGCGTGAATGGGCACGAGATACCCGTGAATGGGCACAAAGGTGTTTCTGTTTCTTAGGGAACACCAACGTAGCCCTCTCTTCGGAGAGGCGCCGAACTGGGGGATAAGGAATTAGGACCCTTAGCACAGGGTAAATTATTTGGAGAGGCCTTCCTTAAGGAATTAAATAAAAGGGTCAACATATTCACGTCCCTTAACAAGGCACAATCTTCAATGCGGAAAGTCTTCCGCGGTTCCCACACCCGTGGTGTTTTTGGAAGGGCTGGACGGCAGAGGGGCCGTGCCGCCAGCCGTTTTTGGCCATCCGGCCCCCGTACAACAAGGACTCAGATGTTCTACCCAGACTCATCTAGTCGAAATAGATTCAACCACTTCAGGGGATCTGATCGTGGCCGAGGCACCCGAGGACGCTCACGAGCAAGATTCTCCAACGGTAAGTCGGAATCTTACTCTTCCTCTAACCCCTGTCATATCGCAGGTCGTGTTTCTCTTTTCTTCCAGAACTGGAAAGAACTATCTTCAGATGCGTGGATAATCCAAACGGTGCAGGGCTATCGAATAGAGTTCGACTCGACCCCGCTCCAGCTGACCCCTCCACGTCCAATCCAGACTACACGGGCAGATGCCCGCCTCATAGACGCGGAACTCCGAGAACTCCGCTCCAAGGGTGCCATTCAACCGGCTCCGGATGCCACCGGTTTCTACAGCAATATCTTCCTGGTCAGGAAGAAAACAGGCGAATTTCGCCCCGTTATCAATCTCAGGGAGCTCAATTCGCACGTAGTATATCGACACTTCAAAATGGAAGGTATACATCTCCTCCGGGACTTGCTTCGACGCGACGACTGGTTCACTCGTCTGGACCTCAAAGATGCGTACCTTACCATTCCGGTACACAGAAGCAGCCGTCCCTACCTCCGCTTCTTCTGGCACGGGATCCCTTGGCAGTTCACCTGTCTCCCGTTTGGCCTCAGCTCGGCCCCGTGGTGTTTTACCAAGATTATGAAGCCGGTAGTGGCAAAAATCAGATCCCAAGGTATAAGATGCATCATCTACCTCGACGATATCCTGATCTTCGACGAGGATGCAGACACTCTGCGGAGACATACGGAATACGCACTACACCTTTTGGACTCTCTGGGTTTCGTCGTCAACCGTCCCAAGTCCGCATTGACCCCGGCTCAATCAGTTCAATTCCTCGGATTCGTAATAGACTCCACATCATGCACTCTTCAACTCCCGGCTACCAAAATTACGGCAATCCGCAGGGAGATCCGGAAAGTCCTTCGTCGGACTACCATACCCCTACGATTACTGGCACGGATCATAGGCCTTCTCTCCGCGTCCATCCAGGCCATTTTTCCCGGGCCCCTGCACTACAGGGCCATGCAACGCCTCAAGGCAAGTTTCCTTCGCAGACAACCGACATACGACCAACCGGTTCCAATGTCGGTCGAAGTTCGGGAAGAACTACACTGGTGGCTGAATTGCATGCAGGCTTGGAATGGCAGGGCCATATTCGGGAACCAGCCAGACTTCGTGCTGGAATCGGATGCCAGCCGTTCAGGCTGGGGGGCAACAGACGGAACCACGTCCACAGGAGGAGTCTGGACTTCCGAAGAGCTCTCGATGCACATAAATTGCCTGGAACTCTTGGCCGGGTCCTTCGCCATTCGCAGCCTGGCAAAGGACCGATCCAACTGCTGCATCCTACTCCGCATGGACAACGTCTCAGCGGTCAGATACATCAACCGCCTTGGAGGCACTCGTTCTC